TTATATTTACTGTATGTGCCAGGGCTGTCTCTTATATACAACTAGATGTGTATAAATGTACTGATCAGTTTATTGAACATTAATATGCTTCTTAAAATAATGATTCCATAATACAATATAATGTAATTGAAAAATGTCCTAATTTTTGAAATTGCATGCAGTAATATGTATAATTGCTTGCTGATAAGGAAGTGTCCATCACTAATTTATTGAGACTTTTTATTTTACATTGTAATTCAACTTTAAAACCTAAATTCCTAAATGAAGAGTTACTTTTGGTTATACTACAGTATACACATATTAGCACACATCACTCTGTTAATGTACAAAAAGTGCTATTTCGAAAGGACATGTCATATATATATATAATTGCTCACTGTTCAGGAACTTTTGGAGCGCCCATCACCAAACTTATAGGGAAGCTTCTTTACATCATTAGGTATCTCTAACATGAATTTCAAAAAAAAAAAAAGATATATATTTTTTTTATTCAACTTTGAACTTTACAACCTGTCATAACTTGTTTATATTTGAATTGAGGACTTAGCATTTATTAATAAAGTTATAGAGCTACTCAATAGCTTTAAAATGACACCAAAATCAGCTCTGTAGGTGCCATACTTTTCGAGATATGGTCGGTTAAACACGCAAGGTATCGCTAATTAGCCAAAAGTTCGTTAGCAGATATCTCGCTAATTAGGAGGCCTAGAGAAAAAAATTTTCATTTCTGATCGTTTCTCATGGGCCTCAACAACATACAAAAATTTGAACAAAATCCGAGAGATTGAGGTTTTTTTTTGGTTGATTTGACATGGAATTACCCAAATGTAACTAATCGTAAGTTTTTCAAAGTTTGCCATTTGTGTATTCCATAGAAATTGGCTTTTATGGACTGATTATAAGTTAAATAGTAGAAGACATTAATGTTAATGTATCCTTTTCTCTTTATACACATTGCTTGAAGTCAAATTTTATGAAAAATGGCTCCATTTCAAACAGACAAGGCACCTTGAAGGAGTTGAGTAGCAAAGCTGAAATTTTGTGTACATATTACTATGATACCTATCTTCGGGTCATCCGGGGTCACGAACGTCGAGCCATTTAAAGGATTTTTCTGGCTGGGGCCCATTTTGGGACTCTGTATTTTCTGATTTAAAGCTTTAATGGGATTGTTATTACTTCTGGATGTAGTCCTGTGACCATAGATTATATTCAAGTAGAATGGAGCCCATGTTACCCCTAGTTTTCATTCAGGGTCACCCCAAAAATTGAAAATAAACTTAATCGCTCATTCTGGACCCTACTTTAGGCAATCATAACTTGAAATCTAAAGATGATACTTTAAATCTGAGTGCAGATTCGTAAAATTTGGCAAAAAGTAAGTCAGAATACCAACTTTGAGCTCTTTGTCTTGTCCGTAGGCCGAAATATGGCATTCTGAAATCCGAAATTATTCAAAATGTCACTTTTCGCGATTCGCGAGTGTCCAGTCCAGAAAATTTCAAAGGGCCATATCTCAAAAACGACATGGATTATGACTTTCATATTTTGCATGTGTCCATGTGAGCAACATCATCATTCTGACCAAATTTCATTAAAATCTGAGGGGGTCACCTGGGGACCTCTGGTTGATTTGACATGGAATGACCCCAATAACTTTTGAACAAAAAAATAGGTTAGATACCGGTCTGAAGTTGCTCAAAACATTGACATCAAGGCCAGTTTTCTTTAAAATAGGTTTAACCACAGCGCACTTATAAAAATCAGGAAAACCACCAGATGATAATGAGACATTTACAAGCTTTGTAATCAAAGGCAGAATAATATTAATATGCTTACTGAGCAGCTCAGTTGGACAGTCAAGACATGATGACTTAGATAAGTATTTCCTAAGCAGACATAATATATATTCACGTCTCAGATAGAAGAGAACTCAGAAAAAACCACATAACAGTGAGCATTATAGGTGGGATCGCCAGGACAAGGATCCAATGTGTCAAGCTCATGGCGAATATCAGCAACCTTTCCAACAAAGAAGTTGGCAAACCTGTTAGTCAATCTTCAGGGCAATCAAAATCATGGCAGTGATTTTTTGTTTTGATTAAGTAGACAATTCAATGCATTGAATGAAGACTTCATATCAGTGCAACCAGATAACAAGTTCCTGAAGTAAATTGACTTTGGAGTCAAGAACAGCAAATTTGACACATCGTTTAGCAGCAAAAAATGTGTCACGGTTAGTATCAGATTTGTCCTTCATAAACTTGCGCTAACACTGTCAGCGAAAACGATGTGCCTGCACAATCTCTTCATTATACCATGCAGGATCCTGTGGTTCTTTTCACAATCCTGGTTATCATAGGTGCAGCTTGATTGAGACATTTAGATAGATTTATTATTATCATTATTATTATTATTATTATTATTATTATTATTATTATCATCTAGGTTCACTATGAGACAAGGCTTGCCTTCTAATTGTGATCCTAACAATGGCATTTCTTATTATTATTATTTTTTTTTTTACATTTCTCGTTTTCATGTCATTGTTGAATAAAGTTGAATAAAAGTTGAAAGCAAAGGAAATACCAACAGCCATGTCATTCCAGAATCATCACAAGCCAATAAGGGTGAAAGTTCGGATGTCAAGTCAAGCTCAAATTTCTCGTGGTCTATTAAACCTAAAGGGCGATACGAAATTGTTTTGGGAACAACTTCCGGCTTAGTGAGAACAATATTAGCACAAACAACAGAATGGTCAGAGTGATGATTCCGATGGATAAAGTGATCAACAAGTTGAACATCAGGAGACCTGACAATAAGAGGATCTAAAATGTGTCCAGCATCATGTGTGGATTCAGTAACAAGCTGAACAAGACCAGCCGATGAAAGGTCATTTTTTTTTTTATGTTTGTGAAGGGCGTGGAATAAGTGGGCACGGCATGCCCATCAACTGAATGCCACACCCACTGGCTTCCACTTTGGACGGTCTATTTCGTTTTTCTGGCTAAAGATGCAAAATCAGCAAAATTGATTTCAAGAATTTTATTATCAGCCGATATTAGAACTCCAGTGGATATGATTACACTTTATTGGCTTAAACTAAATGATCTATGGACAAACCAGATATTACTAGTGTTTAAATGTTTAAATGGTAATGCCCCTAAATATCTGTTTTCTAAATTCACCTTTAAACACTCTGTTCATTCTCACCCTACTAGAAATCAAATATCAAATGCAAATTCAAACTGGGGTAAGCATATACTTCATACCAGAGCTGCTCATCATTTTTAACAATCTTTCTCAATTCGTAACAATTTTTAATTCTCTTTCTATGTATAAAAAAGAGGACTTTGTCTGTATTCAGTTAGACTGTACCTTTCCTTTTGTTTAATTTAACTTGTTTTTATTTTGGTATGGTAGTTTTCATTTTACTGCTTTCATTTCAGTTTATACTACAGTACCTTATTGTTTTTTATTTACATTTAGTTACTTTTGAATTTCATGATTGTAAGCACTTTTTATTTGGTTATATTTACTGTATGTGCCAGGGCTTCCTTGAAAAGCAGTGCTTGTCACTGAATGGATACCCCCTGGTTTAAAGAAAGCTTTAAATATACATATATTATTGTAACTTGTACTTCAGCTACAGTCTAGCAGAAACACAAAGAGAGGCAGCGATAGCAATTGAACCGGGGATCTAGAGATCAGATTAGATAAATTATTTCATAACTGTTTTGTAGATTCTGAAATATAAATTCAGAGCAACTGATAATAATGAGGATAAAAAAATGCTAATGGCTGCAAGCAAATGATACTAAATATAATGACCAACATAAACATTGTTATGCCTCACCATCACCACCAATATAGTATTATCAATTAATGTTATGATTCTTAATTTCAAACATTGCTGACATAAATACAATAGTTCATTTCAGCACAGTCTCACAGATATTTCAAATATAAAAATTTAATAGCTTACGATTGACAGTTATCTTGCTTGACTTAGTTGTTGATCCAATGATATTAGTAACGTTGACTGTTATTTTGAACATTTTGTCCTTACGCTTTCGTACATTGACTTTGAAAATTGCTAGGTTAGTATCTGTTTCTTCAAGTCCAGAAGGATCGGTGGTCCATTGATAAGTAACACAACTGGGATTAGCTGACACATCAAGTTCAATAACATACGTTTCATAAGACAAAACAGTATCTTCCTTTGCTAAAGAAAATTCAGGTTTGTCTGAAGAACAATAGTCATTCATATATTATATGAAAAGAATTATCAGTACAAAAGTAATAGTACAATAATTTTTTTAGAATTAACATATTTCAATCTATAAACCTAAAGTTGAAGTAGTTAGTCTCCACCATTATAAACATCAAAAAGGGGATTTTTGCTATGGAAATGGAGAGAGAATTATATGAAGGACAATAAAAGTATGGAAAACATAAAATATTTCTTATTTATTTATTACTACTGGTTTGTACTTTTAAAACAAAGATAGGGTTACTGTATTTTCAATATTATATAGTATATAATATGTGGTATCAATTATCTTTATACAAATATATTGGTTTCTACATTCTACAAAACACTTACAATTCACTGAGAGTTTTCCTGTATTACTCAACTTTCCTTCATCCCCACTGTATTCTGCATTCTCTGCTCGACATTGGTAGCGTCCTTCATCTGTTTTATTGACGCTGCTGATCTCAAATATTGTATCTGACTGTGGATACTTCTCAGTATCAGACACATCACATACACTGCCATCTTTGATCCATGTGATGGTGATAGGTGTTGGAAAACCGTTGGGCAAAGTACATATGAATATCGCAGTTCCACCTTCACTGACAGTCTGATAATCTGGTTTGAAATCTGGTTTCTCAATATCTGTAATATAATAATATGCATTGTTCCAATGACTGGCTGGGGTAAAAATGTGGAGAGGCGCTCTAAGACTTAATTGTATTGGAAACCTACATTTATTATTAATATTGTTGTTTATGTAAAAGCATAAGTTTAATTGTAATCTTGTTTCGCTGTCATCTCACTTAATGCCCCTCTTCATAGTAAACCTCTTCTTCATGTTAAATTTTGTTGTGTTAATGTTTGTAAAAATGATATTTTTGTCGAGTGTCATAATTCTTGTTTAGATATTTTTAATTGTAGTTTCTCTCTTTTAAATGCAAAATTAATGAAATTATTTAATTTAATTTTCTATGAATAATCATTCATTCATTCCATTCCTTGTCTTTGAATTTGACTTATTTACTATAAATCAAAGCCCCCATCTAACTCTTGGTGCATATAAATATATTTATTATTCTTTGTAAATTACTATTACATTATGTTCAACCTATTTAAATTGGTGTTTACACTGTTGGTTTTGAAAAAAGAATAAAGATGTCTCTGTCCTACCTAACATTTTTTTTTTCATACTGAATGATCAGTATGCAAATTAGGTGATTTGGGTAGGTATCAAACCCAAGACCTCCAAAAAACTAGCCTGGTGTCCTAAAAATCAAGCTTGCGCTTAATGAACAATTTTAAGGGCATATTTTTATAAGAGGGTACTTTATGTCGCTATTCACATTTTTGTTGTGCATTTTTCAGCACCTATAGCTTAACAGTTTTTTGCTAGGAACTCCACTGTTTGGCAGTATAATAATTGATGCCTATTTTTCATTGAATTTTGTGTTGCCATTATTTCCTGTGCAGTGATCACCGTAAACTGTAGCTTCACTTACCGTTAAGTATGGCATGTATAACTGCCATGTACTTCCCACAAGGTGAAGCACAAGTCCAGTGCCTAAAGAAAATGGTAGCACTAGTGTTCAGTGTTCTCCCTAGCATCATGGGCAAGCGTGTTGGGACTGACACAAGGTATTTTTAATAATCAAAAACCATTGAAATATCCTAGATTATATAAAAAGAAGAAGACTATATAAAAGCAGGGAACAGTTAAATAATTTAACTGTTCCCTGATAAAAGCATCATGGAAGATGTTCCAAGCTTCATGGCCAACTGTCAAGCATCATGGTACCATGATGCTTCAAGGGCCTTGGGAGAACACTGGTGTTGATTAGTTTCCACTCACTTGTATTTCTCCTAAGAGAGCTTAGAGTTCCATAAAAAAAAAATAAATAAAAAATATGGCTGTTATCTGGTATTGAACCGTGACAACTATCAAACATTTTCCGACAAGTCATTTTGATTGAACTATTGAATACAATTTTCAAGGGTAGTGTTTATCAGAAATCGGTTGGAAACTTAGTCTTAACGGGTTTAGTAAAGCTTTTGACAGTGTTACTCATACAGCTGCTGTATCTAAGGTAGGGACTATTGGCTGCAGACCTAAAATTATACATTGGAGCTTATATAATAATATAAAATAAAATAAAATAATTCACATGAATACTATTATTTTTTAATATGTATGTTATTTTAATATATGTAGCCTTTATATTTGAATCAATAGTTAATAAGTATTGAGGGTCTAGTGACTAACATAAATACTGTAATGTTGTTGTCACATTGAATTGTATTGCAATTTGTGGTGTATGAAAACGAAAAAATACAATTAATTTTTCACTACAAGATTATAATAATAATAACACTGTTAGTACAGAACAAAGTTGGATAACGAATTATTGAAGAAAAATTATGGTTTTGTTTTATTGATGTTTGTCAAAAAAAAAAAAAAAATATAATATTATTTAATGTATAGATATAAAAAAATAATAATAATAATAATAATAACAGCAACAACAACAACAACAACAACAACAACAACAACAACAACAATAATAATAAATTACTAGAGTATGACTTCGATAATTTATTGTGTAAAAAAGATTGATTGTAATGTGGATATTTATTTTTATATAGATATGAATTTGATGTTTGATCATGTGGTCATATCTTCTCGCTTTAGCACACATTTACAGAGTACAACTGTAGGCTACGTCATTATTTGTATTATATGTTGGATGGTTCAACCTAATAATAATTAACACTGTTAATACAGAACAAAGCTGGATAATGAATTATTGAAGTAAAATTATGGTTTTGTTTTATTGATGTTTGTCAAAAAAAAAAAAATAATAATAATAATAATAGCAACAACAACAACAACAACAATAATAATAAATTACTAGAGTATGATTTCGATAAGTTATTGTGTAAAAAAGATTGATTGTAATGTGGATATTTATTTTTATATAGATATGAATTTGATGTTTGATCACATCGTCTCGCTTTAGCACACGTTTACAGAGTACAACTGTAGGCTACGTCATTATTTGTATTATATGTTGGATGGTTCAACCTCATTAAAATGGTTAAACCATCCAGAAATGGTATTCTAGTGTTACATTATTTACTATTTAAATTTTTTGTTTCAAATGGTTATTTTACATGTATGGTATTTTTGTGAATGTATCATTTCATTTCTTGCCAATGATATTGTGTTTGAGCCTTGACTCAGAAATACCGGGATGTGGTGTATACCATGTATTCCAAGAGCCTGTATACAGTATATATTTTTCGAATGTTGCATGGATAAATAAATTGTCAGAATGAAAGTATCGATTACTTTTTTCTGTACACCACATTTTGTTTGTGTCACTGAAGGATTAGCATATAATTATTATTGAAATACAGCGGTACATATTCAGTTGTATCTTTTACTTATATTTCCACATTAACATAATAACATATTATTCTTTAACACATAAACAGCTTTTCTACATAATATAACAGTAGGCCTAAAGAATAAAAATATATAAAATGCAAAACAAAATTTAAACATAGGCCTACAAGCCTAAAAAATAAAACTATACAGAAGCGATAGAAGCAGACAATCTGTATATAATTTTAAATTAAACTAGCATATATGCACTCCATTGAAAGTCCTACTGTTAGCATCTGAACTGACCTACTTTTGTGCAGAGCGGTGCACAAAGCGAATTTGTCACTTGTCATCTTGCATGCACTAATAACATCCCCACCAAGAGGTACCCAGTACAGTAGTTGCCTAGACCTAGATGCTGAATATATATGTGTGCCAGGAATTGATTGTAGAGATAATTTCTGCATTCGTCGTCAGCTCCTCAGGTAGGCTGCTAATGAAGATAGGTCTGTCGGACGGAACAAGCAGGAATAATGTGCTGTTATCGTCATTTACGAGGCCTATCAAACACTGGGACCAGAATTTAGTACTATGCCGTGTTTAATATTTGTACAGTATACTTGGTTCATTTCAAATTAAAACTTGTTCAAAAACAATAATTCAATCAGGTTTGTAAAAATGACACAGACTCGCTTGTGATCAAAACAATAGAAACAATGGCAAAAATGTTAAACAGCACAACCCCGTTTGGACGCGTCTTAGACGCACTTGTAATACAGTTTTTCCAAACCCGTTTTTGTCGTTGGGGATAATTTGTAGATCACGCCTAACTGCACATGCTCGACATGGCTCGATAACGTCACTTACTCAATGCACATGCTCACTGGCTGTCTAGCATTTCCAAGCGCATACTCACTGTATTTTTATTTATTCACGGACGTTATTTGTTAACTGCGCATGTGCATTGCTTAGAATGGAATTACCATTCCTTCGTAGTAAAAAGCTACTGCTACCTACAGTTTCTTAACGACTATTTCCTCTTAATTGTTACAGCCTAAAGGAGTGGTGCGAAAATTGGGAGTTATCTTTCATCCTAAAAAGATTTAACTGATTTGAAAATAGGCATGATTTTTGCAAATTTTCAATGTTTGTCAACAAAAACTCGCAAAAGGATTCATATCTTTGATGCGCACGTACGGCATTGCATTGGCCCTAAGATGACTGAAAAAGAATGTAAATATGTGAATACAGTGTCTGAAACCCAAAACATGTAAAAAATAAAAATAAATTAAATTTCCAGCTTCCGTAGTGCTCCGCGCGTAAAAATGTGCGCATGGTGCTGAAAAGTTAAAAAAATGTTGATATACTCAAAATGACCTGATACGTGCTTTAATTTAGTCAAAAAAATATTTTGAGCATTTTAAAATTTTGACACACACATACACGCGCACTGTGACATGTGCGCGTACAATCTATGTACATGACATTAATTTTTTACCTGAAGTTTATGCCCATTGAATATGATTTAGAAATGACAATTGGTTAGGATGATATGATCAATATTTAAAAACGCAAAATTGCACGTAAAATCCTGATAACCTTGAACAGCTAATTGTCACGATTCCAGGCCAAGCCAAATGTCCGTTGAAGCGCAAATCTACGTAACTTGTGCCAATTTTGAAAGAAGAGAAATGAGGAGAAAGTAGAATATTGAACTAGATTTGAACTCGTCACTGAGGACGAGTTAGGTGATCCGCCGCACTTTGACCCTCAATAAGATCACGCGGTGCTGATTGAAAAGTGTCATAATATGCTAAAATATGCTTAAGTATTTTTTTTAAAAAAGAATAATTTTCAGCATTTTAAAAGATTTACGCATGCGTACACGTACGTCTTGACACCCGTGAACACGGTAATAGCACAAAGAGTGACTTCTGATATGAATAATGTGTCAAGAACACAAAGTATGTAACAAATTGTGATTTCTAGCTTTAGTATGTGCTGTGTGCGTGGAAATGAACGTACGGCGGATAAATTATAGAAAGTTTTGAAATGCTGAAAATGACCCGAAACGTTCTTTAAACTATCTGAATAGTAATATGGAGAATTTTCAAATTTAAACAGACACGTCCATCACCATGTGTGCGTGTACAGTAACAGCACACGAAATTAAACATTGTCAAGTGTATTTAAAACCGCCTGCTAGTTGGTAATGCCACAAGAACTTTCCCTTCACATAACCTATATATTAGTCTGATATACACATCTAGATGTGTATAAGAGACAGGTACGAATACCTTAAACGACGTGCCTGACGACGGTAATGCCACATGAATTTAAACCTTGTCAAGTTTAA